GGGAGGTCAGTGGAGGAATGGAGGTGTGGCCTCAAGATTTACCTCAGTCTCCAGGGCAAAAGGGCTGTGTTAATACCCATGTGTGACTCCTCCCACGCCTCACTTCGGAAACGAGCAAGAATCACATTTGTCCAAACCATTATAAAGCAATGCTTAAGTAGCATTTCAAGGGGGGAAATGAGGAACTACTAGAATGCTTTATCCAATCATGTTTTTTTTAATTCCTTTTTTATTTGTTTTGCCTTTTGAAGTGTATTGTAATAAATATATTTTTACCACCTTTGCTCCATTGTAAAGTATTTATGTGTTCATTTCCCCTTTCTTTGTTTTTGTTGTTGTTGTTTGGTTTACTTAATGATGATGAGTGTAGATTTAAGAAATGTGGCTTGCCAATTTTTGACAAGGTATTTTTTTCTATGAATCAAGATATTAATCAAAATGATTTTCCTTTGGCACCTATTCCCTAACATCAAAACAATTCCAAATAGTCAATTTTTATGCGTGATTTGATAAATTGCTTTTATATATTTGTAGTTTATTTAGATGTTTTATTGAAATTTAATGTTAATTGTTAGTGTTTTATTTCTTTCTACCTTTTTTTTTGGTTTGGTAATAGAACTTAATTAGATTACCTGTTGGATGGACGTGTATATTACCATTTTAAAAATTGGTTTTATTTATTTTTTAATCACAATGATCTAATTACAATCTAATTACAATGTATTTTTTTAAAATTACAATGAAATTTACAGTGAAAAATATTGTCTTTGACCAAAGGAGAAGGGATCTTATTTTAAGTAATTCCCCTGCAATATTGTGTGATTGTTTTGCAATTTAAGGCAGATTGAAAGAGCTCCTGATCTTTGAGTTTTAGATCAGGATTAGAATCCAGAAAAAAAAGTATCAAATTTAGATATCACCCATCTCACTCTCACAAGTGATTCCAAATGGCTACAAATAAAAACATAAAAAGCAACTATTTTCCCTTCTTGATATTGATTTTGTTAGCGCAGTATTGTTCGCCAGAATTATGAGCAGAGTTGGAGGTTTATCATGTTCTCCCCTCCCCCCTGTTTTGTAAGATGGGAAGATAAATAATTGTCCTCCTTTTTGAGCTCACAGTGTTACCCTTTTATTTATTTATGCCATTTATATCCTGCCATTAACTCAAAACTGAAGTTATTAGATGAATAATGAGATACACTAACACTTCTGTGTTGGAAGCACCAAAGTGCTTCTGTGGTGAAAATATTTGCTTGTTATATCACCGTGTAGTTCTCTGTGTGTCTTCTCACTGTTTTATTCTCTATTCATTGATGAAAAGTTATCTGAGGCAAGCCTGTGTTTTGTTCTGTTCTGTTCTGTTTGTAGCAAAGGGATGCTATGCAAAATAACTTAAAGCAACTGCAGCAGAAGATGGCTTTCATTGAAGCTGTCCTCAAAGAGGGAAGCCAGAGTATGAGCTCTGAAGGATGGTCATTGGAAAGAGAGCAGACAGAAACAAGAAAGGGTGAGTTGGCAGTGTTCTGAAACTGCCTTTCTTTCAAAAACAATATTCCTAAGAATTTAGAAATTTCATCCTACTTATAAAATATTAACAAAATAATTCATTTTAAATGGAATATCCTGTTACAAATTTATGTATAAATTATTAATTTATGTATAAATTAGTATACATTATTGAATGAATGCATTTTATACATAAATGCTCTGCTTTTTCATCCTCAGAGAAATATTAAATCCTCAATTATTTGCTGGGCTTAATATACATCGTATAGGACTCAAACATCCATTAGGAATTGACTCAAAGCTGAGAGGAATAATCCATTGTAGTGTTCTCTATTTTCTTCTGGCAATTTTATCTGCACTCTTTCATTCTAAACATATGCCTTCTGTGCAGTATACTACCTTGGTATAGATTGTCACTGATGAATTATAGAGTTAATTTTGTTTGGTTACTAGTGGAGTTTATGAATATTAATTCAGAGTTCTGTTGCCATGGCAATGGTTTTAAAATTGATTTCTATTGCATTGTTGTGATGATGTATTAGCTAGTTGAGGAAAATAAACTTGTTTGGTCCAAGAAATGAACTTGTTCCAGGATTTTTCTTTGCAATTCTTTTGAACTGTGCTTCTACATAAAGAAGATCAGTTTAATTATCATATCATCAGAAAAGCCAATTATGTTCCATGGAACAACAAAAGATACAATAGTGAGATTCCAAAGGCTTATAATTTTTGACATTTTATTGAAGTAGAAGAACTGTAGTTAATAGACATAATTAAGATCCTATAGAAGGATAGTTCAGGTAAACAGAGTACAAATCTCTGTCAGTTTCACGTCTCTCTGGGATGCTGCCATGAAAACCAGATTGAAATGTCAATGGGAACAAAATAGGTGCTTCCAAGTTTTCTGGAAAAGCACCAATCTTAAATAGACAAGATAATAGATCTGAAATATTAAATTAGTGAAATCAAATCAATTAGTTTCTTTTGTACCCCAAAACAAACTGAATACAACATAATTAACGCAGCTTTTGTTTGGTCTTTCGGATTAAAACAAAATACTTTGGATCATCTTATAAACTTATAAATTTCAACAGATTATAGTTATTGGCAGCATGATTACAAATTACAGTTTGTTCTCTTGGCTAGTTTAAAGCATTTTGCTTCTTTTTAATTGCATTTTGGAGAGAGGAAATATATTAAGGCTGTTTGAAAGTAGAATAAACAAGGACAAAGATTATTGCCTCAGGTCTTAATATTTTTCCATGTTTTATCTTCTATTTTATCATTCAATCTGTCATGTGCATCACTTGACATTTTCTACTTTTAAAATGTGATTGACAATTAGAAATATAATTTGAATTTTGTGTAGGTCATATATTAAGCTGCATGCCCAATAGACAATTAAAAGATGCAGGCACCCCTAAGAAGGAAGAAAATATATATTAAATATCGTTGTTTTTTTAAAAAAAATAACTATAATAATTGTCAAATATAAAACGTCATTATCTAGATAAACAAGATTTTTTTAAATCTTCTTTTCTAGAAATGCATAGTATATTGGAAAAATCAGTCTCTCCCTTGGCACATACCACCTGCTGTAGTACAAATAAAAGGAAAAGAAAGAGTCTACTTCTGACTGGAAGGCAAAAAATGTCTCTGGTGGCATCTGGCTTAAACCAGAGTGAATTGGTAAGCATGCTCTGATATGCTTGTAGATTTTTCACAGCAACAGATATAATTTTTTTTGAGCTTTAAGATTTTGTGGGAGGCATTATTTTAAAGATAAACCTGCTTTTATAGCTATTTTGTAAAACGTATAAAGCAATAAACCAATAAAAGCAGAGATCATATATATCCAAACATTCAAGTGTTTAAACATATAAAATTCTATAAGGACTTCATACCCCTCCTAATAACCAGCTTTTCAGTAATAGTTTTGAGTATCAACCATATAAATATTTGAAGGGAAGCATTTTGAAAGGGCAAGTGCTGCAGCAAAGAAGAGATATTTAGTGTAATCTGAATGAACAAGTACAAATTTGAGTTTGTACTTGAGAGCAAGTCAAACTAGAGTCTTGGATTTTAAGAGAGCTAATTTCAATAAACTTAGAGCTTGGGAAGAATTCCATGAATGAGAA